GCTGGTGGCCACCCGTCGCCGCCCGTCGCCGACGGCTGGCAGGGGGCGGCGCCGGAGCCGCCGCCAGGGGGCCCCAGCGCCAAGCCGAGAACTCCGCGCGGACCTGCGGGACATTCTGCTGGCGCAGTTTGTGGCACTCCGTGCTGTGCCAGGGGCCGTCCTGGGCCCTGGGACGGTGCTGCTGCCCAAACATCCGCTGCCCTGATTTCTCAAGGAGGGGCCCCCCCGAAGTCCCGACCCGTTCCCCAGGGCCGGCGTGTGGTCCCGAGTCGTTCCTGACGGTCCGGGGGGCCCGGCGCGGGACCCGCCAGTCCGAGGACTACTCTGCGCGGAGCTCTGAGGAATCCGACCAGCCATAACTGGGGGAGCTGTGGTCCTTACGCCCCTGGGGGAACCCATCGCATCGACGATCTCTCGAGAGGGGTGTCGAAATCGATGGGCCCCCCAAGGGGGTAAGGACCACACACAGCTCCCCCAATTGTGGCTGGCCTGGGAGTTCTGCGCGTGCCGTGTTTGTGCCCCGAGGGCGTCGCGCGTGACACGCAGCTGCCTCACACGACGCAGGGGCCCGTCGAGACGCTCGGAGCACGTGCGCGCGGAAGCCGAGGCTCGACGCCCGCGGCGCTCCGAAGTGCCCCCCCCCCCCCACGGGCGGAGCCCCAGAGCTGGCCGAAGCCGGCGGGCTCCCCCGACGAGGAGGGGGAGGAGGAGGAGGAGGAGGAGGAGGAGGAGGAGGAGGGGGAGGAGGAGGAGGAGGAGGAGGAGGAGGAGGAGGAGGAGGAGGAGGAGGAGGGGGAGGAGGAGGAGGGGGAGGAGGAGGAGGAGGAGGAGGAGGAGGAGGAGGAGGAGGAGGAGGCGTGCCCCAGCGAAGCCGAAGCTGGTGTGGGAGACGGCGGCCGCAGGGGAGAGGCGGACGGCGGTCGGGCAGCGGCGGGGCGCGCCGGCGCACAGCAGGGCACGAGGAGGAGCGAACGCGCCGAGGCGCGAGGCTGCCAGAAGTAGAAACACCAAGAACTACTCCAGATTTCGTAATAAAAGGGAGGGGGTCTGGACCCTCCAAGACAAGCCGTTTCAGACACCCCCCTCCCCCGTGGGAGAACCCTCCAAAACATCGTCCCCGGACCCCCCCAGGCCCTCCAAGATGGCCTGGAAGAGACCCCCCCCGAAATGAGACCCCCCTCCCTTCATTACGAATTCTGGAATACAGAAACATGAGCTGTTGGAAGCCCGCGCGGAATTCTTGGACTGGCGCTGGACCAGCGCCGATCCGAGAAATCTGCGCGGACCTCCGACAATCTATGTCTGTGAAATGTTCGGCTTCTCGGAGAGTGCCCGTCAGCGCCCACGCAATTACTATGATCAGCCTGGCTGAACACACCAACACCACGTGTACCCCCACCACGTGTACCCCTTGCTCGAGGCTCCAATCCACATGGATTCGCGGCGTCGCGAGGCCGCCAGGGGTCGTGCCGAAAGCGCCTCCTCGAAGCGACGGGTTCACCAGGGTCGCGGGCCGCCTTGGCGAGCTCCTTCGCCCAAGCCCTCGCCCCCCTTGTCCTCACCACCCCTCCTTCTTCTCCTCCTCCTCCTCCTCCTCCTCCGCCTCGTCGTCCTCTCCCCCTCACCACCCCTCCTCCTCGCCCCATCGATCGTGAAGCGACTCGCCGAGGCAATCAGCTGGAAACGCCTCTGCCCCAAACCCCGCGCGTAACATGCCTGCTAAAGGTCCTGAGGTCAGCCGAGGTACCGTCGGGATTGATTGGAGGGGGCACGCGAGAGGGTACACGACCCTTCCGAGGGCCACAGTGTCGCAGGAATGTAGACAGCATGGGTCGCGAAACGCAGGACGCAAGAGGGCAGCTTCGACCTGGCAGGGTCGACCTCCCAAGCAGCCCCGACTGTAGAACCAGCGCCTCCCTCCGCCCGTGCGGGGTGCGGGGTGCCCCTCGCCGCGCTGGGGGGGGGGGGGGGGCGGGGCGCCCGCCACTGCGCGCCCTGCCCCGCGGCCGCCGCCAGACACGGGGGGGCCCCCGCACGCCTGCGCTTCTCGTAGAAGGGGGCCGCCCGCTTCACGCTGCAGTTCCACGTGCACCCGCTGTGCGAGGCCTCCTCTTGGGCGATCGGGGGCGGGCGCGCGCGTTCGGGGCGCGCGCGAGCGCGCGCACACACAGGCCCGCGCCCGCGGCACTCTCCCTCTCCGTCGCCGTGCCCCTCTGCCTCCGTGCCTCGCTCCGTCTCTGTCGCTCGCTCCCTCTCACTCCGTGGCTGCACCCCCCCCCCTCACTCTCACTCCCTCGCCCCTCCCCTTTGCCCCCCCGCTCGCCCCTCCTGATCGGTCTCCCCCTCGACCTCCTCCGCGCCCTCGTCCAATTCTCGATTGCAGCTGGCCGCGAGGCGCTGCGTGCCACATGCGCCTCGAGGCCACTGCGGGAGTTCCCCGGACACCCCCGGGAAACTGCAGAGAGGCGAGAGAAAAGCCCAATGGCTTTTTTCAAGCTCACCGGGGCCCAGTGAGGGGCGGAGCCTGAGGGGATTGTCGGGGGTTCCCGGGCCCCCACACTGAAAAGCCCAAAGAACCCCAAACACCCGAACCCAAACCAAAACAAATCAGACAAAAAAACCAAACAATAACAATAGTGTTTTTTTGTTCGGGGGGGTACCCCGGAAAATACCCAACTCTGGTTTTTGTCCTGTCTTCTTTCGGTGGGGTCCGGTGGGCCACTTGAAAACAAGACTATATCTGAAAAGCTCATCAAACAAAACAGAATCCTCCCCCGACAATCCCCCCAACTCAGTGTTCTTTAAACGTTCTCTGGCCACCCCAGGCTCCGGGTGGGAAAACCCAGAAAAAAACAACCCAACTCGGGTTTTTGTTCGTTGGTTTTTCGTTGGTTCTCCGGCCACCCCAGGCTCTGGGGTAGGGGGAAGCCCCAGAAAAACACAATCTAGGAAGTGTTTCTAATGCTTTTTTTTGTTCGGGACCCACAATTCAAAACAGTATTATGTGCAAGACGTTCCAGAGTTCTGCTAGACTTGCCAGCAGACGCCAAACATCCCCAGCCCGAATCCCTCCATACATATATATATATATATATATATATATATATATATACACAAGGCTGCAGTGGCGCTTCGCGCCATGCACTTCGGTCCTTGAAGTTTGATATGCAGGCGGAATAGCAAGAACATCAAACCGACAATGTAGCGATAACTCCTGGTTGCCTTTTCCGGCATCGCCGCTATAATAATGTTATTCGTTATCTTTCCTCCATGCTTCTTCTTCCTTTTTTTCGCCATACCCTGCGCATTCTCCCCATCCTCCTCAGCTCTTTTTTGCGGAGGCTCCTCCTTGGAGAGCCTCTAGGGGCCTCTCAAAAGTTGTTTGAGGCTTTCTTAAAGCCTCTGGAGGCCTCCTGGGCGTATTCTGGGGGCCTCCGGGGGCTTCCTCGGGCCACCCTGCCTCCAACCGCGGTCTCCCTGAACGACCGAATCACGATTTGGAATTCTTCGGAGGGTGTCTTCGGGCCATCTTGGGCCCCCATGAGGCTCTCTGAGGGCCATCTTGGACCCGTGTTGTGCCGTTTTGGGGCTCTCTTGGACTGCCTGGAAGCCCTTTCGGATGGTTGTGGGGCGATTTTGGAGCCTCCCAGGCGGCTTCGGACGCCAAGAGGACCGCCGTCTTGGAGCGTCGGGAAGCCGAAAAGAGGAGAACCCCCAAATTCACCAAAGACCAAGAGAAAATCAATGATTATTGCCTCGGGGGGCCTTCTTGGGAGTGCTCTTGGAGGCCTCTTTGGGGCCGTCCTGGAGGCTTCTTGGGCCATCTTGAGGTCACGTCGGTCACTCTTGGAGCGCTCTTGTGCTGTCTTGGGGGTCTCTGGGACGTCTCCGATGACCCCCCTGATCGCCCTGGGTGTGCTGGGAAGGCTTGGCAAAGCGCCCTGCGAGGCCCGGTGGCCGCTTCGAGGCCCGTCCGGAGGGCCCCAAAGCCCCAGATCCCGGGAGTCCAGTTTTTTTTTGGGGGGGGGGCGTGATGGGTTTTCCCCCCGCCCAGGCTTATCAAAATATAGGAAGAGGAATCTATATATATATATATATATAACGGTTTTGGTTCAGGCATGGGCTTCGGCCCCTTTGGTGCACTAAGACGTGGTGCTCGTGCTGGTATCGAAAGATACCTTTCCCGAGAAGTTGTCGCTCTCCCGCAGGTCCACTTGATTTGGTGGTAGCGCAGCTGGCATCAGATCCACGCGCAGCGCCAGCACGCTTCAAGAGTGTGACTGAGTTCTGGGACGACGAGAGTGACCTGAGACCGAGCCCTTTCCTGCAGACGACGACATCGAGAGTAGCAGCGCTGATCATTCGACAGCAACACCTGTGTGAGTCAGACGGGCGCCCTCCGCAGGGCGGAGAGTCGACACCATGGGTGACGAGGAGGAGTTCGCCGTGGAAGAGGAGTTCGTGGCGCCGGCAGTGCGCGGCGCCGAGGCAGATATGTACCGCCGCCGACCATCAAATATTCCACGATCGAGGAACTGCGCAGGTACGCGCGCCGCTTGAGGATCTGGTCGAGGGTAGCGACAAGCATCCCGGTCTCACAGAGAGGCTTGCATGCATACTACAACCTTCTGGATGGAGACAAAGACCAGGTCCAGAGCATCGTGGAGGACCTGATCTCGAGGAGCTCGAGGGCGAAGGAGGCGTCGAGAGCATCATCAGGGCCCTGGAAACCGAGATCCTGCCCAGGAGCGTGTACGAGAAGTCCATGGAGTTCGGGCACACCTTCTTCGGCAGCGAGTGCAAGACAAGAGGAACGAGACGCTGCAGCAGCGTTCCATGAAGATCAAAGAGGCCTTCGACAGACTTCGCAAGCTGCAGGTCACGCTGGGCGACGTACAGGGGTACTTCCTCCTGAGGCAGGCGAAGCTGGGTCACGTGGAGCGCATGGCGGTGATACTCCTGACGACCGGCTCGCTGGCCTATGAGGACGTGCGGAATACTCTGAAAAGGCCTGCGAGACGACAGCTCGCTGGAGAACACGGCCAGGAACTACCAAGGCGACGGCAGTGGACACGGCAGCCCGGCCAAGGCGTTCAACGTGGACGAGGGTGACTGCCAAGAGGACGGCGAGGATCCCATCGCCCAAGCCCTGCACGTGCTGGAGGGCAGTTCCCGACCAGGACGGGGAGCTCGCGGAGGAGGACACCACAGACAAGGACACAGCGTGCGCGGTGCTGGCGGCATGGCGGGCAACACCGGGAGGCCGTGGCAGCTGACAGCCCGTAAAACCAGGGGAGAGGACGGGTTGAGGGGCGAAGGAGAAGAATGCTGCAGCGAGAGACATTAGCAGGGGGGAGGGGCTGGGAACAGAAAACACGTGGCAGATCCAGACGGGCAGGGCAAATCAGGCGGGTAGACCCTAACGGGCGAGTCGGAAAGGAGGGCCCAGACGGCCAGGTCGAGCAGGCGGATTGCTGAAGCGTGCGTCCTGCATGAACCGCGAGAAAGTCTCGAGCGACAGCGCGATTCCCGAGGAAATATGGAAAAAGGCAAAAAAACGAGAGCCTGATTCCTGAGTGTCGAGGGCGTGGCGTTCGAAAAAAATACGGAAGTCCCACGCGAGAGCGCCATTCCTGCATACATTGTGAGGAGGTCCCGCGCGAGAGCGCGATTTGAAAATACATCGTGAGGAAGTATCAGGCGGGAGCCGTTGTTGTTGTCAACTGGGGCCCGACAACGCAGTTTGGTGACCCCACGCTTCCCCTTGTAAACAACAGGGTGCGACCCCCTGAAGACGCACCTTAATGTAAACAGCACAATGGTAATCTGGCAGGTGTGATTAACCATTTTTCTTAAAGAAATGAACATTCAACGACACCAGCAATCATTTTAAGTATGTTCGCTCTCATCTGCTCGCGTACCATTCATCACGTAGATCCCAAACCCTCGATACCCACCCTCTTCGTCTTCGATCGTGCCTCCGTACGGGTATGTCTTTCTTACCTGCAATGTGTGTTTCGTGCAGCCCCTGCGGCGGGAAAAGAGAGGACGGATAGAAGGAAGGGACTAGGGGGAGGGAGGAGGATGGAGCACGAGAGAAAGCAGGAGGGGGGCTAGGATCAGAAAGCACGTGGCAAATCCAGACTGAGCAAATTGGGCAGGTGGGCCCTAACCGGCGAATCGGAAAGGCGGGCCCAGACAGCCAAGTCGAGCAGGCGGGTTGCTGAAGCGTGCGTCCTGCATGAACCGCGAGAAAGTCTCGAGCGATAGCCCGATTTCCAAATACATCGTGATGAAGTCCAAGGCGAGAGCGTGATTCCTGAGTGTCGAGGGCGCGGCGTCTGAATAAAGTGAGAAAGCCCCACGAGAGAGTCCATGCCTCTATAAATTTGGGGAAGTCCCGCGCGAGAGAGCGACTTGGGAATACAGCTTGAGGAAATATCAGGCGGAAGCCGTTGTTGTTGTAGTTCGGGGGCCAACAGCGCAGTTTGGTGACCCTTCGCATTCCCTTGTAAGAAACATGGTGCGAACCCTGGGAAAAACATTTCAATTGAAAGCATAAAGTGTTACCCAGAAGGGGGGCTCATCTACTTTTCTTTAGAAATTCAAAATCATCAACAGCATCATAAACACACGGACGACAGCAACAACACCAGCAACAACAACAATCATTCTAAGACGGTTCACTCTTATCTGCTCGAATGTCATCCAACGTGTATTTCCCAAACCCTCGCTGCCCGCCATCTTCGTCTTCGATCGTGCCCTTTTTGGGGTGTATATCTTTCCTTCCTGCAGGCCGGGCCCCGGCAAGCGGCGGGGCGGCCGCGGACTGTCGGCCTGGCCGGCGGCAGCGCTGATCGGCGGCAACCCGACCCCAAGAGGGACGGACAAGGGACCGACCACGACGACGACGACGACAGCGGCGGCGACGACGAGCGAAAGCGAGAGCGAGAACGACAGCGGGGCCACGACGGGCAGTAAGGGGGCCACGAAGGGTGACAGCGGGGCCACGAAAGGCATGCGTATGGGGCCACGAAGGGCAGATAATGCGAGGCTACAGAGGGCAACGACGGGGCCACTGAGGGTAGCAACGGGGCCACGTAGGAAAG